GCAGAGGCCTGTCAGATAGCAGGGGCCTGAGAAGGCCTATCAGAAGGGAGAAAAGAAGAAAAATATGAATGAATGATTTTGGCAGGATCAACAGTTGTGTGAAGATAGAAATAGCACGAAAGAAAGTGGATTCTAATGAACACAGAGGCAACCACATGACACAGAGCCAACAGGGGAAGGGGATGGCCCCGAAGTGGAGGTTCTGAGGGGAGCAGTGGCGTTTCACGCCCAGACATGGAGGAATGGTGAGCACAAGGAGTTTGGAAAGAAAGGAGAGAGGGAGGCAGAAGAAGGAAGGCCTTAGTCTGAGCCAGGCACTGTGCTAGGCATCTTACCACCAGCGCTCCCTAAGGTCTGCACAACACGCTGGCACTCAGCGTCCAGCAGACGAAGGGCCTGAGACTCAGGAAGAAGTCCCTGATCCAAGTTCACATGGCTGGACAGCCTGTTGTGCCAGGATTTACAGGCCTTGCTTGGCTGGTTCTGAAACCAGCTGCCATCCCAGGACACCCAGCTCTGTGGCAAGCATCGACACACTTACAGTGGCCTTACTGTCCCCACCTCTTTAGGCCTCAGATCCTTCATCTGGAAAATGAAGAGGTTGGGCTAGGTGATCTCCAAGCTGCCTCTCAGCTCCAGCCTCCTTAGGGCGTTGGGCAGCTCTAAATCAGAATGGGCTTCCTGGAGGGGCTGGGGGGCTGAACTTCCTCCCACTCACAACAGACACGCAGTTCCATCTGTGTTGCCGAGACAATCCAGGGCAAGGAGGGAGAGGCCCACGGCAGAGATGACTCCATGCCCCAAAAATGAGTATCATAGCAGCCCACAGGATTGTGCAAGCTGCCCGTGAGGCTGCCAGTCGGCCTGGCCCGGAGGAGGGCTGTTTACACTTCCCAAGTGTGTTTGCAGTTAACTCCATCCGCCTGGCCCGTGTGCACAGCCCTCAGGGCTGCCAGCAGCGTCTATGCGGAGACAACAGGAACGGATCTCACACCAGACCCTTTAACTCAGACACCAGACACCCATTTCTTCATTCATGCATTCATTCATTCACGTACTTGTTCATTTCCTCATTCATTCCCATAGTGTTTGCCAGGCATTGTGCAAGGCACTGGGGACTCAGAGGTAAACAAGATAATGCTCTGAGAAGTCTCCAAGACCCAAAAACCTCGAAGCACAGTGAGGCACTAAATATAGAGAATGAATCTCCCGGCCAGGTTGTTGGACTGAGTTACGTGCTTGGAGTTCAGGGAACACAGGGCAGGAGACTTCAGTATCTTCCTATGGAAAATACTTCACTACTAGTTGAAAAATCAAAGAAGACAATAACTCTACACTCCATTGTCTTTGGAAATATGTTTTCTCATGAATGTGGATATGTGAAAATGTCACTTTCAAAGTTTTAAAATCCCACACTTGAAGCCTGGCCAGAAAAAAACAACCTTAGTGACTTTCAGGACTCCCTGGTTCTGAGGCCAAGCAAAGGGTCTGGGGTTTGCACAATTTGCTAGGCACCAGGGAAGGTTCCTCAGAGGTCCCGGTTCTCCCAGCTAGCTCCCTCCTTGACTCCCCATGACTGGGGCCAGGTTGAGGGCTCAGAATGCTGGAGCGTGGCTGTGTTTTGACTCCAGCTTCCCTGGACAGACAGCAACTTTTGGAAAACCATGCCACAACACAAGGCACTGCTATGGAAAGGGCTTAGGTCAGGCCTCCGGGACTTGGGCTCTCTTCCCAGATACTAGAAACCTTCTTTTTCCCTTTTCCTTCCCACTCACCTTTTTTTTTTTTTTCTGGTGTTTTCTTTCTTGGCCTTCTTCTTTCACAAAGGACAGGAAAGGATGTTGCCTGCAAGTAGATTCAGGCAAATATCTGCAAATGCCCCTGAGACTAGGAAACAGAAAGAAGTCTGGCTACGTATATGGGACATTGAAAGGAAAAATACAAAGGGAAGACCCCATAAATTCATATTTCAACAAATTATCTGCCTTGCACAGAAATAACTATCTAATTTTATTTGTCATTTCTTTAGGATATATTTCCAGGAGTAAAACCAAGACATCAGCACATTTTGAAGAATGCTTTTCAAGTTGCTTTTCTAAAGGTTTATACCAATTTACCCTCCCGCCAGCAGTGTGCAAATGTTGTCTAGTTCACCACACTATCACCGGCATCAAATGTGAGGATATTTTACTTTTTCTGTCTTTGAGCATTTTGTAAACTGAAGAAATTTATTTTCAAACTATTTGCATTCATGTCACTCACTGATTTTACAAGTACTTTATTTCCAACAATCCCTTTAAATACAAAATATCCTGTTACAGTGTGAGTAGATAGACCCTCGGGATGCCTCAGATTTTACTAGGTCACTAATAACATGTCCTTCCAGGTGTCTTTTCTCACCCAAGGCACCTTTCCCACTTTGACTGGGCAATTCTAATTGGTGCTTCCGTGTCTCCCCACTTTCAGAAATCCTCAGTGCAGTCCCTAGCAAGGAGGCTGCCCGATGGCCTGATTCATTCCTGGATTATTAAATCCACCACCTCATGCTGTGGGAGGCGGGGGCAGGCTTGTGTGCCTCGGGCCTCACTGAACCTCAAGGAGCCTCAGTTTCCTCCACAGCAGTTAGAATGGTGCCTGTCGCTTGGGGTTGGGTGGGCGTGAGGCAAGATAAAATCTGGAAAGTGTGCAATAAGCGCCCAGCACTTGGCACACACTCAGTGAACTTTAGCTAGTATATTGTTATTATTACTATTATTATTCTCCTTCTCTCTCTGGAAGGCAAGGAAATTACTTTTATCTCTGGATCTCTGGTTGTTGGCCCAGAATATCTAAATAGATCAATCAAACTGCATATTGAGTAAGCATTTCTCTGCCCTTGGCATCAGCTTTCCATATGTAAGACTGGGCTGTGAGTACTACAGTACTATCTTCTCTGGCAGGTGGCTGCTTGGATGACTCCACTCCAGTTCCCACACCTCCCACCCATGCTTCCCTGGCCCTGCCATTGACACTGGAGAAGAACATCCAGGTATTTGCATTCCCAGCATCCTTTGCTGCCAGGGGTGGCCATGTGACCCACTTTTGGCCAATGAGACACCAACAAGGGGCTCCTGGGAGACCCTCTACTTTCTCATGGAGCTGAGGCTGCCATCTTGCCACCACAAGGCAACGAGGAGGCCCACATGCTAAGGACGATGAACAGAAAGCTGGAAAGAGCCCAGTACTTGGCATCACCAGCAGCTGACCAAGACCAGCAACCACTCATTTTCAGAATTATGATGTTAGGAAAATAAACCTAATTTTGTTTAAGCCACAGTGAGTTGAGATTCCTGTTAAGTGAAGCCAAACATTTCTATCTGATACCCATGAACTTGCTTTAAGGTGCTCATCAAATATTACACTCCCTACTTACCTTTTCTTCTTTCTCTTTAAAAGCCCCTTTGCTGGTCCTTTGGGAAAGCCAAGGGGCCCAGGAACTCACCACGTGTTTGAATCAGGGGTCTGATGCTGAAGAAGTCAGCAGGAGCATAACTTACCCTAAGAATTTCTCACCTTCTCTACCCCAAATAGGGGCTGGGGATCAAGGACATCCAGAGCACTAACATGAGAGGAGCATGCCCAGGAGAGCCAAGGAACAGACCAGAAGATACAGCCCAGGAGACCCCAGGGTCACAGGCTCAGGCCCTTGGGCCAGCTGGGTGCTCAGGGCTACACCCTTTGTGAGGCCCCCACCCCGGCTCCCTGCAGCCCAAGGGAAAGGGCTATCTGCTAGTGACCAAGTGGGCATGATGGGTCTCCTGTGTCTTTGACTCCACCAGACTCGCACAGTTTCGTTCAGGGAATAAAGAACCTGCAATCTACCCTTTCTTTCTTTCTTTCTTTCTTTCTTTTTTCTGAGACAGAGTCTCACTCTGTTGCCCAAGCGGGAGTGCAATGGCAGGATCCCAGCTGACTGCAACCTCCGCCTCCTGGGTTTAAGCAATTCTCCTGCCTCAGCCTCCCAAGTAGCTGGGATTACAGGCATGGGCCACCATGCCCAGCTAATGTTTTGTGTTTTTAGTAGAGATAGAGTTTCACCGTGTTGGCCAGGATGGTCTCGATCTCCTGACCTCAGGCGATCCACCCGCCTTGGCCTCCCAAAGTACTGGGAGAACTTGCCCTTTCTAAAGCCCTAAAAGCTAATGTTTGAGTGTCTGCTATACATCAGGTTCTTTTCATCTTCATGAAAGTCATTTGATACAAGATTTCACATCCTCATTCATAAATGAGAAAACTGAAGGATCGAGAGGTCAAATGGTTGGCCCAAGGTCACACTGCTTGGAAGCGGGGGAGTTCTGTTTCCCTCCCAGAGATAACCACCCCACAATAATATGTTGCTTCAGAGGCTATTTTATTCAGTCTCCCAGACAGGCACTGTTCATTGCCATCTGAGAGCCTTTGTCCCAGCTCTGCCTGTCCCTCCAGCCTGGAATACCCTCTGTCCTCCACTGGCATTTTGTTCCAGCTTCAAGACTCAGCCTCACTGTCTCCCTAATCATAAATAGCCACCACTTACGGAAAGCACACCACAATATTTTACAACAGTCCTACCCGACAGGTCCCTGTGTCCCTGCTTTCCAGATGAGGAAAATGAGGCTCAGAAAGGAGCGTTTGCTGGCCTCTGTCACACAGCTAGTAAGGGGGGCGACCAGAAGGCAAAGCCAGCTCTGCCGGGGCAATGTCCTCAGAAGAACCGAGAGAGGGAGGGGTTGCTTCCAGGTCAAGGTCAGGCCTCCAAAACAAATGCTTGGTCTGGGCCCTTCTCTCCTCCCCCATACTTGGCCCTGCAAATTGGCTTTGACCTTTCATGCCCCTGCCTTTGAGCTTCTCCCCATTCAATTGAAATCACAAAGGAAGAAAAGAGGGCTGGCAAGAGGGAAAGGCCCCTCCTGGCCCAGGCCCAGGTCCCCAGCCACGCCCCCGCAGGCGCATCAAGCCCTCCAGGGTCTGTTTGCACAGTTGGGGTGCTGCACTAGGAACCCCACCTCCGGGAGAAAGGCACCACGAGGTCATCTGTTTACTCTGGGATTAGCGGCTCCCCGCGGGAGTTCTTTTCCTACGAGATGAAAAGAAAGCGGACAATCTGTCAGGTAAACAGGCCGCATTGTTCCCAGCCATGTCGGGGGCCCCTTTGTGGGCCGGGCCTTTGAGATCGGTTGCTCCCTTGCACAGGGAGAGAGCTTACTTAAAGGGAATGGAACGGAATGGGAGGCCCCAGCTGGTGGGCAGGTCGCCTGCTGCTGATACAGGGAGGGACAGAGGGCTTGGACAATTCCGGCTTTTCCTTAGCTGCTCTCCTTGCAAGCCCCTTCCTCCCCATGGGTCTCTTGATGAGTCCAACAAGACAGGCACGGAGCCCGATCTCACAGATGGGGAAGCTGAGGCCAGCGGCAGCTTCCCCCCCCCGCACAGAAGAGAGCTCCTGGCATTCCAGCAGCGGGTGGCTGGAAGAAAACCAGGGACCTGGTCTAACCACCTCACTCTTCAGATGGGGAATAGCTGGAGACACAGGAATTGGCAGAGCACGATTTCTGCACTGGAGGCTTCCCCATGTATCCCTGCTGGGTAGCGGGGAACACTTGGGAGCCACGACCATCCCCACCAGTGGGCTGTCAGTTTTATGGATTCCCAGAATATTTAACAGCTGAGTGGATGGGACTGGTCAAGGCCGGCCTGTTTCCTCCCACATCTACCCATAAGGTATCTTCCTGGGAAGCAGGGAAGACAGTGCAAGCCCCGCCCCGCAAGTGCATGAGTGCCTGGGAGTCAGGACTCCTGTATTTGGGTGGCCCTGACTCCAGTTTGCTCTGTGACCCCAGACAAGCCACTCACCCTCTCTGGACCATCCATCAAACAAGAGATAAGATACTCTCCAGGGGCTAACCCTTCCCCTTTGGACCGTGAGAAAATCCAGGGAGGGCACAGGCATCCATCCATGAGGACAGGAGGGAGGAGGGACTACCTAAACCCCTGTCCATCTCTGACTTCCGAGAGGCCTGTGAGACAGTAGGGGCAGCGCCTGGCCCAGCCACCATCCTCTGGGCAGGGTGCTGTCATGGGAAGAGAGCACTGTGGTGAGGTGGTGAGAACGTGTGCCCCGGGTCACCCTGACCAGTCCAATTGCAGCCTCTCACTCACCAGAGGCCCAACCTTGGGCAAGTGACTCAGCCTCTTGGTCTGTGAAATGGCCCCTATGAGGCCTCCTCAGCCTGGGGGGCTCCACGGCGGAAGGGTTCCAGGAAGGCGGGAGCTGGGGCTGCTCTTGCCCCTGCCAGGAGGTCCTGTCCACCCTCTAGCTTCCCTCTCCCTGCCCCCCCCGCCACTGCCCATTCCCAGTAAGGCACCTATTCTCTTTGCCACCCTGACGCCAAGTCACTGTTCAGCTTGTTGGCGACAGAGCCGGAAGCGTGGAAAAATCTCATGCTGCTCCCAAAGTCCAGGGAGAGCTCAAAGCAGGCTGCGTGGAAAAAGGCCCAGAGCTGTGGCCAGAGAGAGGAGTAGGCCCCGACCAACCACAGAGCCACCTTGAC